CCTCCACCATTCCTGTCTGAGTTTTAGTGCCTTGGGTATCTTTATGATGTGAAGGGCGCTATACAAGTGTAGTTTGTTGTTGTTGAGTTGTTGCCATCCAGAGCTCTCACTAGCCATCTGACCCTCTGAAGATCTTGTGACATTTTGTTGAATCCAGAATTCAGTTCTCTTTTAGCCTAGCTGCCCTCCTTCAGAGGATCCTGCAATCATGTAGAACGTCATTCCAGAGCCATGTTTTCTGAATAACTACTCTATAAATCTGCGAGAAAAAGAGGTACAAATACAGATTTAGAATGCAGATAAAGCCAGAATGTCACCTATATTAATACCACAATAATATTACTTCTTCTGGGATGCTTTAATAATAATAGACGTCTTAAAGCGCTTCACAGAATATATTGTAAAGTGAATTGATTGTATATTTTGTGGGCGAAATGTGGCATCCAATTGCACACAGCAGTATTCCACAAATAGTCATGGATTGAGTGAACAAGTTATTATTTTATTAAAAAAATTGGGAAAGGATTATTACCCCCGGAAAGCAATCCACCAATCAACTAACAACCGGGTTCCTACTTAGTGCTGGGTAAACAGAGGCTTGTGGAGTAAGGAAACTTACCTAACATTTTGTCCTGTCCGGGAATCAAAAACTGGTCCTGCCGCTTGCGTGGCGAGCACTCTTACTAATACGCTAAAGGACTTTAATGCAGGAAATGTTATGATATATTGAATTTTTGTGGAATGATAGACATTCCAAAAACTTACTTTAGAGAAAAATAAGCATGATCTATTCTTTTGTACTTGGTCCTTGAGGTTGTATCAAAGATAACTACACTGCTGTTACAACACAATTTTAAAGTCATTTGTCTGTAATATTTTTTCAGCTGTTTCAGTGAATGTTGTTTATTTCCTTCGGTCATGTCTCCAGAGTTTTCTCTTCCTCCTCCATAGTCTTTCAATTCCACCTAATTTATACATTGGTAGTTATTCATGCTCCTGAGTGTACACTCCCACCCTCACTCCCACCCTCGCTCGCCTCCACTGGCTCCCCATCCCCCAGAAAATCGATTACAAGATCCTCATCCTCACCTACAAGGCCATTCACGGCTTTGCTCCCTCCTACCTCTCCGACCTACTATCCCCCTACTTACCTGCCCGTACCCTCCGTTCCTCTGGCTCCGGTCTGCTCCACATCCCCCGCCCCAACCGCCCTACCATCGGTGGCCGGGCCTTCAGCCTCTCACCCCCTTGGCTCTGGAACTCCATCCCCCAGTGCCTTCGCCGCCTCCTCCCTTTCCTCCTTCAAGGCCGGTCTCAAGACCTTTCTCTTTGACCGTGCCTTCAGCTCCCCTCTCGACTCTCTACCCCTCCTTGCTCCCTCCCTTCCCTCCCCTCACCCTGACCAGTTCCCCCCTGCTCGGGTCCTGACCCAACTGTACAGCGCCTTGGGACGTCCTCCTGACGTGAAAGGCGCTCTATAAATGGAATCTTGTTGTTGTTGTTGTTGTAACTAGAATAATGTCCAGAATGTTCAGTCACATGCAATGTTCTTCCATTTTGTGGGATCAGTTAAAATTACTACAGTACTGTATACACAATACAATTTACATTTGTATACTACCTCTCATGTCAGGAGGACGTCCCAAAGTACATTCACAGTGCTGGATACCTGACTTGGGGCTGGGAGCTGAATGTATGGAAATGGGAAAGAGGTACATTTTTAAACATGCCTTAAGAAAGGGGAGGAAGGGAACACCTCAGAAGGACTCCAGGATGGAGTTCCTGAGAGCGACGGCAGAATGGTTAAATGCACATTCGCCAATGGTGAGGCGGATTATTTATGTAGATAAGGTCTTAGCTTGTGCCAGCTATAACAGAGAAATATATCCCCCATACGAATAATTCTCTTGCATTTACATGATAATACATCCAATGCATGCATTTGAAATATACACTTACATAATTCAAAAGATGCTTAATTATAACCATTCCAGTGTGCGCCAATTTGTGTGAAAATCATTATTACAAGGTGTATTCACGTACCTTAGACTAATATTACACTTACTTTAACTGAAAGATTCTAACATATTTTTATTTGAGCTGGATAGAAATAGAGGAATTTGAGGTGAACAGAAATAAAGGAATAGGAATAAAGGAATAGGAAAAAAGAGGACAATACAGATTAAATACAGAAATTCCTGTCAAGTGTAGTGACTGTTTATGCAGGCAAATATGACAGGCATTTTGTGCGAAGCAAGTTCCCACAAACAGAGAGAAAAACCCTTCTGTTTTTGAATAGCGTGATGGGACAGTTAGTGTCTATCTAAAATATAGGTAGGCAGGACTTTGGGTTGATATCTGATCTGAAGGCTGGTACCTCTGGTAATTTAGGGTTTCCCAGTATTGTATTGGAGGACAGCACAAAGAACTCTCAACTGATCCCATCTTTAAATGCTCCAGATGTTACCCATGCAAAGAGCGCAAAACGGATGCAAGTTGTTGTTGTTGTCTTTACAAAGTGCTCTGAGATGTTATCCTACATTGAGGGTGCGAAATAAATTCAAGTTGTTGTTGTGTCAGCCGAGAGAAAATCCAGATGTGGAGCTTGAATCAAAATCTTCTGACCCAAAGGCAAGAGTGGCACCAACTGAACCAAACTAACAGTAGGTACTAATTAATTTGTTTTGGGATCTTTGGCAATTTAATATGGTTTAATGGGAAAAGTAACAGGATGCAAACAGATGTGATTTTATAATGGGTTTGACTATAAATAAATTGAACGGTTTGGCAATAATAAAATATGTAAAGGAATTGTTTTTTGGTCAGACTGTGTCAAATTCACGTGGAAACCCATTACCATGCTTAGTAATATCCAAAATAGACTGTGAGTTCCACATATATGTGTCACCTACACATGGAGATTTCCCTGTATCTGGAATGGAATGTGCTCTCTCTCTAGGGAGGGACTCACCTGCTTTTCTAATTCCGGAGAGTATTAGAATTGCGCGACCCTATCACCCCCATCCTCGCCCAACTCCACTGGCTTCCCATCACACACAGGATACACTTCAAGATCCTGGTCCTCACCTTCAAAACCCTTATGGTCTTGCTCCCCCACCCCCTACCACCCTGTTCAGCGGGCTCCGGCCTGCTTCATGTCCCCCGTCTTGCTCACCCCACTATCGGCGGGTGCGCCTTCCGCCACTCTGCACCCACCCTCTGTAACTCCATCCCCCAGTCCCTCCATCTCACCCCCTCCCTCGATACTTTCAAGACCCACCTGAAGGCACTCCTCTTCGACCGTGCTTTCGATCTCCCTGCTTGCCCCCCTGCCCTCCCCCCCTCCCCCACCCCAACCCTCAGCTAACTCTGTCTGTCCAGCGCCTTGGGACGTCCTCCCGATGTGAAAGGCACTATACAAATGTAATTTTGTTGTTGTTGTTGTTGTATTTAGCGCAGATTGGCGAGAGCAAGGCATGGGCACTCCAGAGTGTGTGTTGGGGTGCTGCTGGATTATAACAAGGTACAACTGAGTTGTTTGCCATTGAGAGCATTGTCTGGCAAGCTACCTGGTGCTTATGCAGTTAGGACTATGTTATACATTAGGAGTTTTACTTGTAGCGTAACATTTGCTGAGTGGAACAAATCCTTACTCTCAGTGACCCCTCTAAAGCTTGGCATGTTGTCATTAGCAATGGCCTGGAGTATTGCAGACCTGCTTGGCTCAGGAACTGAACTACTGAGATCGCCACAGAGGATTGAGTCAGTTCTGATATTCCATGCCAAGCACAGCACCTTTCGCAGCTCAGCTCCAAGGAGACCCCACTTACCCCCTCACACCCCAGGCACGTATGCCAACGCCATTCTATATATACAGCATCTGAGTGCCCAATTATTTGAAATTAACAGTGATGTTGTGGCAACGCTGTTAAAAATACATTTAGCATTAATCTAAGAGACAACTGCTTGACGAACCAGACCCCACACAGTCCACTTTCTTTTTGGTCTGATATCTGGGGTGAAAGGCCGAAATATATTCAGGATTACTCTGGCCTCTGAGTTAGAAGGTTGTGCGTTCAAGTCACTTTGGGACTTTGAACTCATATAGTCTAGACAGAAACTCCATTGCAGTGCTTGGGGGGTATGCTACATTATTGGAGGTGCCGTACTTGCGATAAGATGTTAAAGTGAGGTCCCATCTGCCTATTCACTTGGGCGCTAAATGATTCCAGGACATTATTCAAAAAGGGAAGGTAGTTTCTCCCGGTGGCGCGGCCTGGTGTCACGGCAGATCAAATCGGTCATCCCCTTCATGGCTATTTGTGGGGCATTACTGTGTACATTACTGTGTACTGTGCCGCCAGTTTCCTGTAAGAATACACGGTCACTCCACTCCACCCCACGGTAAACCTCCGTGAAAGCGCTCGCGAAGCTCTCCCCTCCCGCCCCCCCCCCGCCCGCCGCCCCCCCACCGTCCCCCCGCCCCGGTGCCGTGCTCCGCCACGGTCGAGCGCTGAAGCCCGGGCGCCGGGAGCCCCGCGCGGAGGTCCGGCGGCCGGCGGCACGCGCAGCAGGACCCGCCTTTTGGAAGCGATCGAAGGCGATCCTTTCCAGGGAAAGGAAGGAAAGGAAAGGAAAGGAAACCAACCGCGCGTGGGTGGTGGAAAATAAAAAAAAAGGAAGAAGCCCTCCCCCCCAACACCCCCCCCCCCACCCCACCACCCCCCCCAAAAAAAAAAACTTGCCCAGAGCGCGAGGGCAGGGGTTTGCTGCGCACGGTGGGATGCTCGGCTCTGGTGGCCTCTGGTTGCCTGGAGCGGGTCTGATTCGCTGCCGATGACATCAGTTGGCGATGTGAGTGAGTGAGTGAGTGAGGCGGCGGCGAGTCTCTCCTCTCTCTCTCTCTCTCTCTCTCCCTCCTCCCCGGGACCGGGACAGCGTCTGAGCTATAAAAGCGGCCGAGCCTCGCCCGCGGAGCTCACTCTCTCCCTCCCTCCTCCCTCCCCTGTCTGTGGCGAGTGTAGCGAGCAACGGGCGGAGAGGCTGAGGCTGAGGATGGCGACCGTGGACGCGGACCCCGAGGCTTCGTGCAGCAAACTCAGCCCCTCGCCATCACACGCCACCCACCGCTTCCTCGACAACAAGTTCTATCTGCTCGTGGTGATCGGGGAAATTGTTACGGACGATCATCTGAGATGTGCCATTTCAGATATAGAGCGAGGTAAGGGGTGAGGGGTGGGGGGTGGGGGGGACTTGCAGCCAATGCTACATTATTATTATTACCTATTATTGTTGGTATTATACGATGCTGATGTGCTGCCTCGGGGATAAACGCAGAGTGGGGGTGCGGGGGGGTTGGGGGTTGGGGGGTGGGGGGGGTTAGAGAGAGAGAGAGAAAAATCTGTGCAATAATGATGAGAGGTGCAATGAAAAGAGATACAGAGAGAGAGAAAAAAAAATCCGTGCAATAAATAAAGAGTGCAATAACGTGCCATGGAAAGAGATAGAGAGAGAGAAAAAAAATCTGTGCCATAATAAAGAGTGCAATGAAAGGGAGAGAGAGAGAGAGAGAGAGGAGGGGATGGGTGGGGGGGGGAAGAAGAGAGCCACATCTGAGTGATTTAGGGGCTCTCTGATGCTGCTGTTGGATTGGGAGCCCGCAGTGCACTTGCAATTTAGAGATAACCTTGGAAGAAACCTGTGAGAGGTGCAAGACAGCAGCGAGGGGTGTGGTGTGTGTGTGTATTTGTTTGTTTGTTTATTTATTTGTTGATAAGCTTCAGGTTCCTCGCATCCCCCTGATTTGACAGTGTGGATTTTTTTTTAAAACCACCAAAAAAATAAGTATAGCTTTGTAGCTGAGAGATATCACCCCCCAACTCCCCCACACACACACACACACACCACCACTCCCACTCCCTGCCTCTCCCAGTGTTAAATCGTCTGTGGTTCGGCTGCGGATCTAAAAGCCCCAATTGATGGCAATTCCGGACACTCCGGATCACTGGGTTATGGTGTTGGTTCTGACATGTGTTTGAGCAGGAGAGCGGCCAACAGTCCTGTGGGGCTGCAGAATATCTTCCGTTATTGATGCCGAAGCCCCTGTTGTCCCCAAACTTACGGAGAGGACAGGATTGCTGGAAAGAGTTAAATCCAATCGTTCGCTTTTATTTTCTTGTTGCAAAAAAAAACCCCCCACCACCTGTACAGCACAAAAATATTTTATATATATATATGTATATTTTTTGGTGGGAAGTGGGGGGTGAAATCAGCAATGAATCAGCATTGCCATATGGAACAATGAAAGCCCCCACCCCTCAGTTTGCAAGACACACATTGTCTGGTGGGAGGGAGGGAGGGGTTATTGTTTGCAATAGCTGGGGGACGTGTAGAAGACGTTAGCACTGGTTGTTGTCGGTGGTTACACAGTTAGAAATCTTACCCCCCCATTTTTTTTTGCAATCGTGTGTTTTTTTTTGCATTGATGCGTTCATTGTCTGAGCTGTGAGGGGTGGGGTGGGGGGGGGGGTGGGGGGGGAAGAGAGACGGAGAGAGATCCGCCAGTGCTGTGTGTGAATTGCACGACCCCCTTTTTAGCAAAGTAAAGGCGTTGTCCCTCGACTTGAGTTGATGGGTGTGGGGGGGGAAGAGAGAGAAACGCTCACTCCGATCGCAGTGCAAGCGCTTTAAAGCGCTTCTGAGCCTGGGGAGAGGAGAAGACGGAGGGGGGGGCGGGTTGGGGTAGAAACAAAAGCCCTGATGAGGGAGGGAGTGAGTGAGGAGCTGCACCTCTCTCTCTCTCTCTCCCCCTCAGTCACTCCCTCCCTCAGCCGCTCCTCATTCATTTGGCCGCCGGTGGGCGTGGCCCCGCGCGCTCTCCGCACTGCGGTCTCTACGGAAACTCCAGACGGACATCCAGACAAAGGGCGGGTCGGCGCGCTGCACTGCGCCTGCGCTGGCCCGCGGGGCCTTCTGGGAGCTGTAGTTCTTTTCTGTTGAGCCAGAACACAGACAAGACACAGACAGTGAGAGCATCACAGCCCTTAAAGCTATGCTGCTCCCCCCATCCCCCCCATCCCCTCCCCCCCCCCCACACACAGACTCCCCCCAATATCCTTTTTCTTTTTAAAAAGAACACAATAGATTTGAAATTGTTTCGTTCCAGATGAAGCGGCTGTACTCCTTAGTTTGAAATCCCTTATCGTGCGAGGGCGACGTCTTGCGTGCTGAATTTGGGTGGGGAGTCATTTTTTTTTATATAAAAGAAAAAGGCAGTTCGTTGCAGGATTTTTTTATTTTTTTTTATTTAAAAGCAAAATTCAAGCCGGGAAGACGAATTGAATTTTTTTCACGGGTGGCTTTTGTACTCGCACAGGATATCTGCCGTCAATTCAATTCTCTAAAACCTGTCTGGTACCCGCCTATGATTTGGATGAACTGGTACCATAGGAGCAAGGTCAATGTCACTGTAATGTGTAAATGTGGTACCTGGGAAAAAATTGTGATACGTTATCAAATCAAAAGAAAAAAGTGCATTGTGAATATGAATTCTTGTGATTTAATTCAACCCCCAGAGCTGCCAATATTAATTGGCGAGTACCTGTGGCTTTATCTTATTATACGGACCATATACTTGTAAATTTGTCAAAATTACACAAAGTAAATTACAACATCACCTTCATTACCCCTCCGTCTTTGAGTTCAACACAACAGTAGCAAATATGTTTTTAATAAACACTGCAGTATTTATTTTCTTTAGTTTCTTTGGTTCTATGCCTCCTGGTGTATCTGGATGGGTGGGGCAATTAGAACAGCATATTTCTCCATAGCCAGTCACCATTATTGTTGCTACTCCCTGCTCAGTCAATAGGGCTATGGCTGCGCAGAGGTTGAAATAAGTGTCTGGCTCTCTTCCCCCACCCTCTGCCAACAATTTAGATAAAAAGTTCCAATCGGTGACTTGACGGGAAACCTTTGTGGCTTGCAAGTGTCAAGGAGCAGTGTTCCTGAGACCAGAGAACAAGGCAGACATTTTGTTGTTATTAACTGTACAGTTAGTGCATAATAAGACATGTCGCCCATCAATCATGAGATGGAGCACATCGAGGCTGGGAAGCTATTGTAATTACATTAGGGAAAATGCACTGCATGAGGAACAGTTCTAAATGCCCTAGGGCAATTTTATTTATGATTTCTATATGAATTCCTGTTGCAGTATTAATATCACATTTTCATCACTGGTGTTCCTCTGTAACAGGAAGCAAGTATTATGAAAACAATTTTTAATTTTGAACCTATTGTTTTCATGTTGCCTCGATTGTTCACCACATATTAATAATAATAATAATAATCCTTGCATTTGATATAGCGCTTTTCACATCTTCTAGACGTCCCAAAGCGCTTCACAGAATATACTGTAAGGTGAATTGATTGTATATTTGTGGGCGAAACGTGGCAGCCAATTGCGCACAGCAGTGTCCCACAAACAGTCGTAGATTAAAATTGACCAATTTATTATTTTTTTTAAAGATCTCCCTCCTTGAAATAAATACTTTGGCGTTGCATTAATGTATAATGTATTGAACATATAGTACAATCTGCCTCTTCCTAGTTCTTTTTTATTTCCACAATCTCAGTTTAGTGTCCTCTCCCAGTCCTGCATTTATAATGGAAGCAGGCTCAAGTGAAGATGGCTGAAAGGACTACAGCAATTTCAAAATAAACACCATACGCAACATGTTGTTGGAACTGTGAATTAAATGATTGAGCAAAGAAAAGCCAAATAAAATTTCTATGAATTACAATGTTACATAAAATTGAATCATACTGGAGGCTTTTGTTTAAATAACCTGTGCATCTTTTGGTATTATGTGAGGTTGTCATTGGAATGCCAACCATTATTGATGTTTCTACGTTTTGAACATGCAATGGTTCAACAGGCTTAGGAATGTGGCACATGGATACATCAAGTGGCTTGTGTTTGGTATTTGTGTAGATGAAATGCAGCAACCAGTTTTGGGAAAGTGACTGAAGCCAACATTAGTTGGCCAGTGAACTGCTTCATGGTGTGAGCTAAGAAGGCATCAGCTTTGGGGGAGTAATGAGAGCCAACTGGGGTGGGCACATAAACAGAAAAGTCATAGAGATAACCTAATGGGTGCCAGCTTTGACTGCAAAGTACTTGCCTTTGGGTGACCCACCCTTTTCACTGCAGTAATTTGAATTAGGAATTGGAATGATGCCTAGTATCTGCCTGAACAGCTGCATGAAGCGCTTTGAGATGTCCTCCTGACATGAAAAGTGCTGTATAAATGTAAATTGTATTATATTGCTAAATCATTAATATACTTCTGCTACTGCTTAAATAGCTTTAAAAAAAGAACAAATGTGAGTGGTGAGTTTGACTTTAAAGTGTACCTTGGCTTAATGGTTTAGGTTTTATTGACTTATTACACAGTTTATTTGGCTCTTGCAGCTATCAAAACATCAATTGGAGGCAAGTTTAACTGTGACTTGACCACTCAGGGGCCCAATGGGCAGACATGAATATTTTTTCTGTATCCATGTCTGAATTGGAATGTCCTTCCTCCAAGAACATTCCTGGAAAACTGATGAGCACAAAAAGAAATTGGGCAGAAATAAAAAAAAATATTTAGCAGGCGTGTGACTATTTTAATAAGACAACATTCAGAACAACAATGATAAAACATTACATCTGAATAGCGCCTTTCACGTCAGGAGGACATCCTAAGGCGCTGGACAGTCAGGGATCTACAATTATTAATTATTAATCTATAATATCCTTCTGCAATTACTTGATTCTAATAAAGAAACTAATGCAAAGAGAATTTAATTTGGTTGCTGAATGCAGGCTGCTGTATTGTGTGAAAGGATTCTTCGTTGTATTCCACAAGGACAGATGTGTTGATCAGATTATTGACTTTCTCTTTCGTACCTGGCAGCCATATCTTAGCGGCTTGTGGCAGCAGGAGTCGACGTAATTTTTTCCTTATGGTCTATTGTTCAATGAGTCCAAGAGCTTTTAAATCTATAAAGTGCTGGGCATTCATTACAAATGAGGAGATTTCAATCCTAAAGCTATTTGGGGGACATTGCAGAGCACAAATTAGCTTCTGTGTTTGCCCACAAATGCACAGTCGTTATACTTACAGTATTACTGTGAAATGTTTTGAGGAATGTCAATGACATGATGAGGCACTACACCAAATGCAAGAATTATTATTAATCTATAATATCCTTGTATTTAGTAATGTGTCTTACAACATCGACCCATACTCTAGTTGAAGAAAAATAGAATTAAATGCTTTGAAGAGAGGAGCAATTACAATTGGTGAGGGAGATAATTTGATTTGTCTTCATGGTGTGGGATAGTGGCTAATAATGGTCATTAACTACTGAGCTACTGTGTCCATGAGAATAGCTTAATATGAGTCATCACTCATGGAGTTACTGACTGAGATTAGAAATCGGCTGAGACAATGGTTATATCATTGACTTGACCCTGTTTCAGCAATATATTGCTGAGTTGGTTGTGCCTCTTTCACTGGAATTAGTTGCTTTTGGAGAAAACATTTAGTAGATGTGCTTCAAAATCAAGTTGCTACATGGTATTTTAAAAAAAAATGTTTTGGTCAGCTGGGTGTCTGACACATACGGAAACCCATCACCATGCTTAAGAGTATCCAAACCAAACCGATATTTCCATGCATCCCAGCTACACGGAAAATCTCAGAGATAGATTTTTGGAATGGAATGCGCACTCTCTCCCTGGAAGTATGCATCCTGTTTACCTAATGCTGGAAAGTATTAGGTGCAGGTTAGTAAGGGCCAAGGATGGGGACCCCAGAGTGTGCGTTGGGATAACTGCTAGAGACTAACCAGCTAATAGCGCAGAGCTTGCCATTGATATTGTTGTCTGGCAAGCTTTCCCGCTGCTTGTTCAGCTCGGATCACCCTACCCTACTTAGGGCTTTGGCTTGCAGGGTTAACAGCAGCTGAGTGGGATGACTCCCTGCCCCCAGTGACTGGTCTGCCCTTCCAGATCCTGCTGATGAGTCAGGCTGGCTGTGCTGCCATAAGCAGTGCCCTGGAATACTGTGGAACCGCCTGACTCAGGAACCATGCTTCCAAGGGCTGGCTCGATTCCGACATTCCATCGCCAGGCATGTCACCTTGGAGCCAGTTCAGCTGCAATGGGTCCCGCTTACCCTCCCGCCCCAGGAGGGGTGGAGGGAGGTTTTTGTTTTGCATATTATAGTTGGTGGAGCGGTGTGACTTTATCGAAGATTGTATTCCTAGTTAGCAGCATTTCAAAAATGCCATTTACAATGGACTCTTAGTAACTGTCGAGAGGTATAATCCTGTGCCAATGCTTTTATTTCTAGGTATCCGCTCCTGGGACACAGACTTGATAGCCTGCAACCTGGACCAAGAACTCAAGCTCTTTGTATCACGTCATTCAGCTAGATTTTCAGCAGACGTTAGAGGTAAGGCTCCCCAAAATGCTATGAATTCTAATAATGTATGAGTTATTAGTTTTTTGTACTGTAAATAATTATCATATTTAATGTGGTGGTGACATTGCACAAAATAGCTCTCTTTCTACTTGCTAGTTCATTTAATGCAGTCACTAGTAAAGACACTATGTATAGCACTTTAGCACTATACATTGCCCAAATTGTTACATTAAGCTCTTATTCTAACATGCTTAAGTATGATTCAATTGTATGTTTGAGATGTACAGTGAATATGTGATGGTAATGAGATTAAATAAATTACCCTAGTGTCAGATCAGATCTCTTCCATCCTAATGAAGCTGTGAGTTGTATTGATATTTTACAGATCTGAGGTTCAGTTCCTATCAATTTAATATTTTTCTTATTCTCCCATTTTTCTCTGATCACACATTTTAATTTCAGCATCACACATTCCTTATTTAACAGTTACTGTAATACGTTGTTGCAGTTAGTTATTGTATGAGGCAGTTGGCGAATTATAAAAACAATGGAACTTATTTGATACCTTACGTAGGAGATGGCAATGTTTATGTCCGAAAGTGCCCTTCAAAAGAACACGTATTGCCTGTGATGGCACGTGGGGCTACCTGGCCCCAGGAATATTGGTCATAGCCATCCCATTGTCTGGCACTGGAACACATTATTCCAGTTTTGCCACTGCAATACATCACGCCAGATTACAAATTTATCATGTTTAAAATCTTCTGGAACATTTTAATGGAGCAAACAGAATACACGGCAGGTAAGAGTAAAATGCAGTGTGGCCGTCATGACCTAAACAGTTGCTGACCTTGGTGCTGATAGGTTAAGGGGTTTGGTTTTAACCAGTATTTTACATATTCTCACGGTCAGCAACCATGTGTCCTTTCCAGTCTCATTTTGTTCTATAATGTAACCTGTGAAATATCCTTTCAGTTTTACAGCATCTCTTGCGAAAAATAACCTGTTTTCTTAATGAATTAAACTGTTGTGAATCACACATTGGATAGTATTAGTGTTATTTACCTGAAACGGTCAATGAGTAAAACAAACCTGCATGGCTTTGTCTTTTGATCAGTTGGTTGCTTGACACTTGTGGAAACCCATCACCATGCTTACGAGAATCCAAACCAAACTGAGACTTCCATGCATCCCACCTATCCCTGGAAATCCCAGAGATATCTATTGAAATGGAATGGGCACTCTCTTCTTGAGGGATGCATCCTATTTACTTAATTCCAGAGAGTTAGGTGCAGGTTGGCAAGGGCCCAGGCTTGGGGACCCTAGAATGTGCATTGGAGTACTGCTGGAGTCTAACCAGCTAAAACGGCATAGCTTACCATTGAAAGCGCTGTTTGGCAAGCATTACCACTGCTTGTCCATCTAGGACCACGCTACCCATTAGGGTTTGACTTGCAGGGTTAACAGGATCTGAGTGGGAAGAGTTCTGGCCCTCAATGACTGGTCTGCTCTTCCAAGTCCTGCCAATGAACCAACTGGCTGTGCTGTCATCAGCAGTGGCCTGAAGTATTGTGGACCTACTTAGCTCAGGAACTAGACTAGTGAGATGGCCACAGAGGGTGGGCTTGATTTTGACTTTCCATTGACAAATGAGTCGCCTTGGAATCCGTCATCTCCTGCTTATCTGCCCACCCCCTTCCCAGAGGCTGGTCACTATTCGGTCATTCGCAATCAACAAGTATAAAAATTTGGACAAAAAAAATGTCCATTGTTACCAAGCCATATTAATATGTTTGAACACTCCTTTCAGTATGCAAAATATGGACTATGAAAGTTTTTGCATGAGTGGAATAAATACAACACACTATAAATTTACATTTATATAGCGCCCGTTATGTCAAGAGGATATTCCAAAGCATTTGATGCTGCTGCCTGAGCACCTGGGGAGGGGGGGAGAAGAGAAAGATGACTGAAAGCCTAGTCGAAGAGAGAGGAATTGAGATAGACCTTGAACAAAGGGAGGGAGGGGAAGAGTTGTAAGGACTCTCAGATGGAGTTCCAGAGAACTGGATGGATTGTCCCCACACACTTACTATATTACTATAGTATAGTACTATATTCTCTTAAAGGGCTGGTTGAATCTCAATCATCGAACTAGAACCAAAATTCAATTTTCCAAAGAAATTGGGACAATCTGTATTGATTTGGAATTGCAGTTTCACTTAACACTTCCTTAGTTTTTGCCACAGACAGTTCTTTAATATTTGGCATGGTTACAAAATGTGATTCATAGTTCTAAAACCATTAAAAATAAATCTGTCACCAATATCCTCACAAATGTAGTTTGACAATGGAATTAGTAGTGAACTCTTCTGTTACCCCATTATTGCCAGTCTAGACACTACCCTTGGTTGGCTTGCTCTTCCATACAGCAGGCCACAACACCAACTTGCATTTCTATAACACATGATTGCATCCGATTGTCGCACAGTGGCAGGGTTGGATGTAAGGTGAAACTCCTCTGGAGGCAGCCCCTGGCAATGACTTGTACATTTTCTCCCTCCTCCTTTCCTCCTCCAGTAGGGAAAGTGCCTGGCCTTTACTCAGTTGCCTACACCCACACGGTTAGGATTGGGGACTCACTGAATTGAGAGACCTTCACGCTTCCTCCCACTGCTTGATGGTGCTGTCTGTTGGTGCTACAATGGGCACTGTCTCCCATATAACATTTATATAAAAAAATCAAGAACGTGACTTTTTCCTGCTATTCTCTGTAAAGATCTTAATACTTCATCTCTTATGTGCTAAATTATTAGGTGCTTTTAATAATAATAATAATCCTTGCATTTGATATAGCGTTTTTCACGTCTTCGAGATGTCTCAAAGCGCTTCACAGAATATACTGTAAAGTGAATTGACCGTATATTTGTGGGCGAAATGTGGCAGCCAATTGCGCACAGAATGTGAGGTGTAGCTATGTTTCTGCATATGGACTAAAGTGTTAAGCATAAACGTGGTTCTGGAGCAGAGAAGGTGGAAATGGCACTTAATTGATTTAAATTTTACAGCAGAATGGGGAGGGGAGGAAATGCATTTAATGTGCTGTGAGTCATCTTACAGACAATGTGACTTTCAACGCAGAGCCTGAAAACTGCGCATTGCAGTAAATAACAGTGGTACAGAGGAGTACTATATCCTGTGCCAGTGATTCTGTCTTGTACACCTCAATACAGGAGGGCAAATTCTCAATTGATTTATAGTCTTAGGTCATTTAACATCTCCTAACATAAAACCATTTTTGAAAAAAAATGTAATGCTTGCTGATTTACAATGATCCCGAGTGTAAAATATATTGCAATGATTTTGTGTCTCTCGCATGAGTAATGAATTGAAATTGTCTGTGTGGTTGGGAATGTTAGTGGTTTCAAAGCTGTGTTCAAGATGGTGTTGCTGCGATTAACTCTGCTTCCTCAGAGAAGGAACTGTGCAAAGCATTTTTGATCACTGACTGCCTGTAATAAATTCAGTTTCAATCTGAAAGTTGGAAGAGAAATGTAGTCAGAAAAAAAAGTGCATCGATATTGCATTGACAGTCACTTCCTGGATCTGGTCAATTAAACCCAATCTTGTAAAATAAAAGTTGGATTCTGAACATGTAGACCAACGCCAAGTAATTTCATTGGATTCCACAATCACACTCATTGTCTTTAAGTTTCCATATTGGGAAATTTCATGATGATCTCGATTCCTTATTTGTATTTAACTCTGTTATAAATCTTCCAGTTTCCTGGCTGGCTTTATTGCATTTTCTTGTGGCTTTCGTGCGCTCAGTTTAGATTGTTTTTCTTCCAACTTTCTTGCTTCAATGATATGCTGTAAGTGATCACTCGACTGGGCCTACAAAATAATATTTAATAATCCTTGGAATGTTTTTTGATATTGCTCCTTATCATGCTGTTGAGACGTCTCAAAGCTAATATTCCAGGGTGTTGCTTTTCATTATGAAGGAGTGTGCTGGCTATCTATTAACAGATGGAATGTACATTTTTCAGGAATTTATCTTGATTGCTCTAAGGCATTACTTAACACGATCGTGGATTTTGATACAAAGCAGTCCTGCCTGTTCTTTGGAAGTTCAATTCTTACAGTAAATTTTATTTTAAAAAAAATTAAACTAGTAATCTAATGAATATCTTAAGAGTCATGACTTCCCTGTACTGTAAATATTCTTCATAATTGAAGGAAGTTGTAACACTTTCCTTTCACATAAACACTTTATAAAAAAAACTTGTGAAATTCTAATCCATAGATTTACATGGCTTGTTTCTGTGCTGTACAATCTATTTGGCCCAACTAGTCTGTGTCAGTGTTTATGCTCCACATGAGTCTCCACCCACCAAATACTCTTTCCCATACCTTTCTAATCCCTTCTCCCTGATGTGTATATCTAGCTTCCTCTTTAAAGCACTATACTATTTAATTTCAGGCACCACATTCTCACAAACCACTGCATTGAAGTAGTTTTGCCTAAAGTTTTTTTGGATTCCCCCAGTTACTATCTTACACTTGTGTCCCCTGATTACAGTCTTCCCAACAAGTGGGAATTGACTTTACGATAACCTTGTTGAACCCTTTTATAATTTTGCACACTTCTATTAAACATCTCTTCAGTAGTGAAAAAAATATCATGGTAAATTATTTTCCATAAAGGTTTAATTACCAAATGGCTAGGGTTAAAGGTTAATGCACTAACCAATTTATATTATATATGTTGGTAATTCCAGTGCCCATGTGGTTAATTGCACCACTTGGACCAGCAGGAAGCAGCAGTTTGATCCTTAGTCCTCTGTTAGCTGGTTCTCAGTACGGGTGTTACTATTGGTCTCTGTGCCTGGTTTGAGAGAAAGGCCTCTGATGGTTTCTTTCACTGACTTCTATCCCGACACCACTGCTGACAAGTAGATATTGAATGAGGATGGGATTAGTCTTGACTGCGATGCTCCCTACAGCCTGTATCACTTATTTTCTAA